CACAGCTCTCTGGGATGTGTGAATTCATCAGCCCAAGCTCCCAGGCCCGTTTAATGAGTGGCACTGGATACTGAAACAGAAAATCACAGGTGATTATCACAGGTAAAATTTCAAATTTAAGAGAAGAATCTGGTTTTTCCTCTTGTAGGGTGGACTTACCTCCCCAGTCCTGTCATACTCTGCAGCAACAGGAATAATTTCCTCCAGTGCAAATTTCCGGGCAGTAGCTTGGAATTCTTTCTGCTCATCTGTCAGTTCTGTGGAAAAAATAAGGTAACATAGTCATAAAGAAACTCCTTCCCTCTGAACCCCCCTGAGCTCTGAGCAATGCCCACAACAGCATTAGTTATAAAATTATTCAAAAATTACTGGGAATGGAGCAGAAAGTGCCAGGTAATAAAATGTTTTTACCAAAACCATCTGTCAAGCATCTGCTGCTGCACCAGAGAATTTGCTGTAATAGCTCAGGTGTGGAGAAAGTTGTGTCGCATCCCTAGACCCACTATGCTCCCCTGGTGCTGCTCTCAGTTATTCTAATGGTTTAAAAGCCAACAGGGGATATTTGCTCAGTTCTGAGGCCATTTGTGAAGTAAAAAAAGCTCAAGACTGTTATAAAAAAGAAGAAAGCCTGAAATATCACCCCCTGCCCTGGCTGTCCTGAGCTGGAGACAAAAAGGGCTTTTTGTTTTCAAATAGTTTTTATAAAAAGAAATCTATTCTGAATAAACACTTGTCTTGGAAATTCCTCGTGAGTTGCAGTACTTTTGCTTGGGTTTTTTGGTCGGTTGCTTTGCTGGGGTTTGTGGTGGGGATTTTTGGTCTGCTTATTTTGGTTGTTTGCTTTTCCCCCCTGCGCTGCCATCTGTCCCTCCCTGTTCTCTCCCTTCCCAGCCCTGCCACACTCACCAAAGCTGAAGCCGCTCCCAGGCTTGCTCAGCTGCACGTTTTGGGCAGGTTTGCTGGAGTGTGACTTCCAGCCGGGCCAAACCAGGGTCCGGAGCAGCTGCAGCAGGAAAGGACCATGAGCATGAGGGAATATCCCAGACCAGAATGAGGGGCCTGTCCTAAAAGGGTTGGTGTAGCCTCACAGCACAGCAAAGGACACAGGCTGTGACAGATGGCACACAGGGAAAAAAGGTATTGTCAGAGAACACTGAAAATAGCTGTAAAGCCAAAAAGTGAACTGTGGGGAGAGCTGGGATCCAGCACGGAATTCTGAACAGTGTGTGTGCACAGCTTGGGGGTGTCCACAAGATTAAGTTTTATCTGTGGGGTTTTCACAAGACACAAGTGTTGCAAAACTATCCTTTCTTACCCATGTTTTCCCTTTGTGCTTCAGTTTTCTTACCAAACTGCTGCCACAGATGTGTAAGGAAATAAAACAACACCACACCAAGAAACAGCCCTCCCAAGTGTTTTAGACATTGTTTGAAGTATAACTGATAAAAAGATGAGGTAGGAAAAAAAGACAGGGTATTGCAATCATGGGGGTTTGTTTCTGCTTTGGTTTGGGTTTGGTTTTGCTGTTTTTTTTTCTTAAGCATGATCCAGTCCTACACAGCATCTCCACCAAAAAGTTTACACAAAACTAGGAAAAGCCCAGAATTCTCAACAAAGCTGAAGGTGACATACCCCACAAAGGAGTTGCCAAATACCCCTGCACTGCTGAAGGTGAGGGTTGGGCAGGGGGGATCTCCCCAGGGGTAACAGAGAGTGGCAAGAGACCCAAATCCTCTCACAGGGATGAGGCACTGGAGTAGTGGGGGTGCCCCACGCTGGGAATATTCCAAGTCAGGTGGAATAGAACTGGTCCAGCTACTCCAAGTTGTCAGTGGGGTGGGACTGGTGGTCTCTGAGGTTCCTTCCCATCTAAACCAGTCTGGGATTCTGTTATGAGGGTTTGGGCAAGCACCTGCTCACTCCATCAGCCTCATTGTCCACTCCATGCTCAGACCCAGCTCCTCATGCCCTCCACCTGCTCTGCTCCCACTGAACCTCAAATCCCGGTGCCAGGAATATAATCCATTAGATCCCGTGCCCTCGGGGACAGTTGCCCCCGCCGCTCCCGCTGTCACTTGAGGCAGGTGGCCACGTCCCAGCGTTGGGAAGGACACGATGGACACGGCAGAGCGGGCGCCCTTCACCTTTCCCCTACTTCAGGAATGACGGGGAGAACTGGAACTGCCGACGCGGTTCCCGGGGCGGGCGATCGATAGATCCCGATAAAAGAAATGTTCCCAATTTCCAACGGGACGGGCAGCGACTCCCGGGGGAGCAGCGGGCAGCGATCCCCGGGGGAGGAACGGCGCGGCGCAGGAGGGGCAGCGCGCACCGACCCCGATTCGGGACCCCCGGGATTGAGGCTGGCAGCGCCGCCCCAGCCCCAACACGACCCCGGCCCCGTCCTTCCTCCCCTGATTCCCCCCGTGTCCCTGTGTCCCCCGTGCCCCGCTCACCCGGCTGGCGCTGAGCGCGGACATCGCTGCGGCGCTTCCAGCGCTGCTGGCGCGGGGCGGAGCGGGGCGGTCGCACCGCCCCAGACCGGCGGGCGGCGGCCGCCCCCGAACAAGGCGCTGCCCCCCGAACCGAGCGCTCCGAGGTCTCCTCCGCGCCCCTTACCCTCCTCTGGCCCGTTCTGTCGGGATGACAAAGAATCGGCTGCTTTGATTTCCCTGGGAATAACCTTTTGCCGTGTGAAATTGCCTCGCCGTGGGTTCGGGTCTCGCTCGCGGGTTTCTCACGGAGGTTTTGAGTCTGCCTTGGGCAGACACTTCTCGGGTTAAACCAGAAGGTTAAAAAAACTGATCGTGGTCTCACACAGGCTTTGCTCCGACCACGCCTGGCTTTTCACTCCGGTATCGGTGGAACGGCGCGGCCAGAGATGGGACCGGAGCTGCGGCAGGGACTGGCGCACCGGGAGCGGCTGAGGGAGCTGGAAAGGGGCTCAGCCTGGAGAAAAGGAGACTCGGGGGGGACCTTCTGGCTCTGCTCCACTCCTGACAGGGGGGAGCAGCCAGGAAGTGGTCGGGCTCTGCTCCCAGAGAACAAGAGGAAACGTCCTCAAGCTGTGTCAGAGCAATTTTAGGTTGGACATCAGGAAGAATTCCTTCATGGAAAGGGTTGTCAGGCCTTGGAAGAAGCTGTCCAGAGAGGTGCTGGAATCCCCCAACCCCTTGAATCCCCGCGGTTCAAGGAATGACCGGGCATGGGACTCAGTGCTCTGGCTGAGTGAAGAAGTAGTGTTTGATCAAAGGTTGGACTCACTGATCTTGGAGTCTTTTCCAACCTTAGAGATTGGAAGACTTTATGACTTTTTCCTCCCTGTAGTTAAATAAAAGTTAATTTATAACTTTATGTTTTTTCAATATTTAATTAAGATTTTCACATGTTCTTCCTGTTTTAAATCCAGTCTCAAGCCCACAGGATGTGTGGGTTTGGGGCTATTAAACATTCCCTGTCCAGCACTGCAGGTTCTGCTCCACAGGTCATATTTCTGACAGCAGCTGTGAGTTCAACTCCTGAGCAGCCCAGCTTCTGTCCATGGATTATTTATGCCTTACTTGTACAGTTCCTGCACACCTCAATAGTCCTCAGGTGATTTATCACCACAACAGCCCCAGGATGCAGAGACATTTCTCCATCACATTTAAGAGAAAGGTTCAGGTGGGTTTTCCAATGAGAAGCATGGATTTCACTGGAGTTCACTAACCAGGATCACACACCCCAGAATCACAGAGGCAGGTAGGAAACTTCTGTATCCCTGTGGAAAGGTAATAGCATAGGCAATATCTGCTCTCCTGGTCACAAACAGCTGCAGCTGCTTCAGGTGCCTGAACACCTGTAGGGACAACCCCACCCAGCGTGCTGCAGGGAGTGGTTTTGGGAAAACATGGGCAGAATTAAGATGCTGTTTCCAGATGCCATCAAGAACATATCAATAACTTTTCTGGAAAGAATGAGCTCCCGAGATTTGTGACCCAGGTATGTGCTGGTACAGGGGGGTTTTGAGACAGTCCAGGTGCAGAAATAATTAATGGGGCTGGAAGCAGGAATGCACGTCCTGGTGTGGATAAGGGAACACACTGACAAGGTCGATGCTGGTCCTGCTATAGGGGACCACGCTCTTGGTGTGGGCACTAGGCCCATTGTGGATAAGGGATCACGGTCACAGGACGGATGCTGGTCCCAGGATCAGGGATAGGACACATCCATGGGGTGGATGCTGATGCTGGGATAAGGGATTGTGGTCATGGGGTAGATGCTGGTGTGGGATGGAGGTCCTGTGCAGGGGAGCAGCGGGTGACTCCCTTGCTGGTGGCAGGTGTGGATCTGTCTGTCCTGTGCCTCTCTATGTGTCTGTGTGGCTCTGAGACACCTGCTCACCATGGCAGGTTGAACCTGCTGACGGGAGAGGCTGCAGCCATACTGGGCTGGATTTACTGGCAGCTCAGGACACCCACTCTGCAGCTCCCTCACCTCCACCTGGGCGCTGGGACCCAGACAATGTGGGGCAGGATCTTCTCCTGCCAGTGACATAGATACCAACCTGTGACATAGATACCAACTGGTGTGATATAGCTGGGGCTGTGTGATCCCAGTGCCAAAAAAAAGTTACCTCTGCTTTGAATATAGGAATGGGAGTGTTAGAAAGATTTTCCCAATAGTTTGGTCACAGCAGTAGTGAGGAACAGGGAGACAACGGCCAAAGCAGGGAAACACGTGGAAGAACCTTCGTGCTCACAGGAGATAGTTTCACGAGCCTGGAAAGCTGCAGGAAAGAGAAAAAGATAAAAATTAAACATCTTAGGGAGGACCTGGGCAAGGACCCACCGGGGACAGCCCGCGCTACTGCGGGGCTGCCAGAGGTACCCAAACTCCATCGGGGCAGAGGAAGAGGCGGGGGATGGGACGGGGCGGGGATGAGGGGGATGGAGGCGGCTGAGGGCGGCTCCCGGGCCGCTGTTCCCGCCCCAGCGCGGCCGGATGCCGGCGGCAGCGGAGCGGAGGCGGCAGCGCCGCGTGGTGCGGGCCGGGCCCGGGGCAGGTGGGGCCGGCGGGGCTGTGGAGGGGCCGGGGCGAGGCGCGGAGCCGCGGGCGCTGGGCCGAGCGCGGCGCTGCCGGAGCGGCGCGGCCCAGGGCGGAGCGGCCGGGCCGGGCTCGGCGGCGGCGGGAGGAGGCCGGGGCCGATGGCGGCGGCAGGGCCCGGGCCGGGGCGGCTCCGGCCGGGGGGGTTTTCCGTGCGGCCGGCGGCGCTGGCGGCAGCGCCGGGCGCGGGGCTGCGCTGGCGGGGCCCGGCTGCAGGCGCAGGGAGGGCCCCGCGCTGGGAACGGCGGCTCCGGGCTGGGAGCGCCGGACGGACGGGCAGGAGCAGGACGAGCAGGAGGAGGAGGCATTTGTCAGGCCCGGGATGAGCGCTGGCATGTATTATCTGAGCGGAGCTGATGTCTCTCACCGCTTTAGCTCTAGAATTACTCTGAGGCCCGGCAAGCCCCCAGTCCCTGTGGCAGTGGAGCTTTTGGCACGTGTAGGATGGAGTCCTCATGCCAGAGTTGGAGCCCGGTTGAGGAGAGGAGGTCCCAGTTGGGATGTGCTCCATTGCCAGTTGGGGCAGGTGCAGTTCAGGTTTGAGTCATGGATTTTGTGCTCATATGTGGCTCTCACGTGTCCCAAATTCCATGGTTTGGCAGTTTGTGTCCTGGTTGATGTGGGAATGTTGCCTCGGTGTGTCCCTGAGCCCCTGTGTGGTGTCAGAGCTGTGCAGGTTCTGCGTGTGCTGCTGGGCTGGTGCAGCTGCAGGTGGAAGTGGCACCTGTGGTCTGCATAGCCCTGAATGTTTTGTGCTTCTTGCAGGTGTCTGGTTGAGCGTGGGCTGTTCTGGCCATCCCAGAGGTATGATCCAGCATTTTTGAGCGTCCCCATGGCTGCAGTTCCCATTGGTATGTATCAAGTGAGGTTTGGGATAACTCAGGGGCTGGTGATATCACAGGTCTCCGGAGGCTTAGGTTGTGCAGTGAGATCTGCAGCACCTTGGAAGGTGTTGCTGTAAGTGTGCTCCAATGCATTTTGATTCAGGAGAGCCAGGTGGGAATACCCAGAAACCTCCCTGGGAGGGAGGCGTAGTGGGAGGAAATTTTGACACAGTGTATGGCAAGAGTGTGGATCTGTTTTGTCATATGTATTGGTGTGGTAATAGGCACAGAAATGAAAATGGGCCTGAGGAGCTTTGGGCATCCTTGAGTGTTTCTCACCCCTCCTCAGCTGCCCTTCACGTGAATGTCCCTTGTACATGGGTCCTGCCTGGGATGGGGGTTTTACAACAGAGCCCTTCTGTGTATGGGAGGTGTTCAGTGCCTCTGGCCAGAAATTTTGCCACACACCAAAAACCTCTTTTTGAACCCTTTGGGTGATAGGAGTGTGTGCCAACCTCAGGGCATTGTGTCTGTGGGCCATGGCCTCCACCA